GTGAGCGGTTTTTTAACCGTAGAAGAAGACGCAGCAGCAGAAGTTGCCACTGGAGTTTACTTCTTGAATGACAGCAAAAGAAAGTGGGCAGCTTTCTTGAGCCTTCTGGGAACGACTTTCCTTTTTCTTTGGCTTAGAGTCGGCGTTTCGGGGGCCTCTGACCGGGAGCTTTTGGCCCGGAAAAATGCGGGACCGAACAAAAGAATTGGGAAACGTGAGTTTTGACGTTAGCGGCTAACGCTAGCGGTCGCCTGCTAGCAAGTTCATTGGTCAGCCGGGTAACGGCCGTTAAGTCCGGTAACGGTTAACGGGACAGATGCTGGCTGTCCAAATGACCGTGTTTAAGGACTTTTAAGGGGTTTTAGGGGTTTTATCTGCTCTTGCGTTGACGTGAGCGACGTTGTTTTTGCCAACTTCCGGTCCGGTTCCAGGCCGGGGCAGGGCACCCAGCTCCCGTCCTGATCCAGACCTCTGCTTTCTGCTTTCTGTTTTCTGCTTTCTGCTCTCTCTTTCCGCCCCAGAAAGCCGAGGCTTCCGACGAGGACGAGGAGGGCAAAGCCCTGATGCCCAAGGCTGCGTCTGCCACGGCCAAGGATGAAAAGGAAAACGAAACCTTCCTCAGAAAGGTGACCGACGTGATTTGGGAAAAAAAAAAGTCTGCTTTCTGAGAAGCGGATTGCAAAACTCTGCTGGTGTTTTTTTTTTTTTTTCGTGCAAAATTGCTGAGAAAGCAGCAGCCAGGCTCAAGCATTCCTGCTGTGTTTTGTCAACATGTCAGTCCCCGAGTCACTGAGCACAAAGTTCACTTTATTTCTGTTTTTGAATAGAAAAAATGAGGAAAGAGTCACAATATCTGTCCTTATGGACTCATAGGGACACATTTCTAGGGGTTGTTCTCAGGCTAGATTATTACATATTTCACAAATTAAATCACAGCTTCTAGTTTGCCTGCTAGTCACATGTCCTGGATGAAAATATACAGAAGTTAGATTTCTCAAATCTGGACGTAGTTGTTCTAAAGAGGCTGCATGTTCATTAAAACCTTGTTTGGATTTGTAAAAATGCAGAAATGGAACAATTTTATTGCCTATATTCACTTTCTGATCAACTTAGACTGTTTCCTATATGGAAACCTGTTTTAAAGCTGGATATAATGGTTCCAAAGAGAATAACAAGTCTTAAAACACATGTTATGGTTTTGGAAAAACTTTATTTGCTCTGTAAAAAATGCCACAAAGCCTCCCGTCAGCCTCCACTAAGCGATGGTTCCCTGGACGGCTGAACGGTTTGCTTTCAGTCATCTGACCAGATGTGTTTGGAAGTCTCTCATGTGCCCTCTGGGGAACTTGTTTGGTCAGCGGTGGTTTCTTTTTCTCCTGGGCCTGTGGGGGGGGGTTCAGCTGGTTCCCCTGTGGGGTTTCCCACTGTTGCTCCATCTCCATCTGTGAGGTTTGTGAAACATACCTACCTTATGTTTCCTTTTTACCAGAGTAGAACCCATTGTAATGGCAATTTTATTCAGTTTTTGCAGCATTTGGAAGGTTTGCTTTCAATTTATCTGTCAGACACAATGAAGACAGAAATGAGAAAACAGCTTTTCTTGTGTATATAAAACTGGATTATCTGTGAAAAAGTGACAGAACAGAAGGAGCTCTGCTGTAAAATGAGGACAGGAGTCAGATAACTACCAGAGATGTGAGCACAGAGCCTGAATCCACTGATCAGGAACAGGAAAAAAAAACAGCAGAAGTTACAGCAGAGCAGCTTTTGACTGCAGACGCTGAGGCTCCAGCAGAGGGAAAGCTCCAAAAGGCCGTCAATCCAAATATAAGTGTTTGGGAAAAGCTCCACAGAAATGACTCGGATGGTTTCCAGGTGCAAGAGATCCACGAGGGGCTGCAGAGTCTGAAACGGATGGTGTCGGAGCTGGAGAACAAGCAGAGGACCGTGCTGGGGGTGGCTCTGCCGGAGGACAGTAAGCGCCCCGTCTAAGACGTGTTGCTCTGAGTTTACTTTCAGGCTCACTGAATCCCCTCTGGCTCAGGTATGAAGAAAGAGCTCCAGACCCTTCGAGAAGAGATCAAAACGCTGGCCAGCCACATCCAGAAGAAGCTCAAGAGTGAGTGGCTTTTCGTTCGCGGCTAAATTCTGCCGTTGTTGCTGTTGCCGTTTTGAGTCGTGACGATTTGCCGTGTTTTTCTGCAGGTATCGAGAACAAGAAGGTGGAGGAGGATGGAAAGTATATTCCCATCACGGTCCGGATGCAGCGCACTCAGGTAGCCCCGGAAACCAAAGCCCAGCTGGTTTTCTCAGCGTTTTTATTCCGATTTTGTAAAGCGAGAACAAATTCAGATGCAAAAACCTGAATAAAAGCTGGATTTAGTCCTGGACTCCTTTGGTTTTTGTCATAAAGACAACTGAGTTCATCCCTAAATAACTACCTGTGTGTTAACTCCAGACTCCAGATCCAGTTTTTTTTCAATCCGATCCTACATTAGCATTAGCATCTCCTGACCCACAGCTCTGTGTCCTAACCATTAAGTTGTTATCAGAGTAAATCCCTGTTCAACATGAGTCTTACAACTAAGAAAGTAGAATAAATAACTTTAAACTTTAACACATGCTCTGATAGGCCGGGATCAGGATCGGATCGGACGTGAATAAAGCTTGATCGGGACATCCCTATAGTCAGATTCAGGGTCAGGCTCTGAGAAAGTCTAAAGACTTTCCCTTTCTTTCCGCAGCACGGCGTTTTGTCCAAGGAGTTTGTGGAGCTGATGGGCTACTGCAACACCATCCAGGCTCAGTACCGGGAACGCAACGTGGAGCGCATCCAGAGGCAGCTGAAGATCAGTGAGTCCCGGAGGCTCAGCCTCAGCTCCCAGCTCTGCCCCAAGGCCCATTTCTGCTGGTTTTACTGGAATATTTGCCCCGTTTTGCTGTTTGCTAGCTTAAAAAAAAGAGAGAGACTGGAGGAAATAAATAGTATTTCCTGGAAAGGCGTCTATTTGCCCCGTTTTGCTGTTTGCTAGCTTAAAAAAAAGAGAGAGAATGGAGGAAATAAATGGTATTTCCTGGAAAGGCGTCTATTTGCCTCGTTTTGCTGTTTGCTAGCTTAAAAAAAAGAGAGAGAATGGAGGAAATAAACGGTATTTCCTGGAAAGGCGTCTCGGCCCCAGCGTGCCCCTCCCAGCCGACCCTGAGTCATCCGGATTTAAGCCTCCGGCTATCCTGCTTCAGGTTTTAAAGTTAATATGTCAACAGTTTAATTTACACCAGTGGGTGGAAATAAACTTTTCCGTGATCTGAGCCTCTGATCCAAACCAGAGTCCAGAGAACTCAGAGTCCTGCTGCTTTTCCTCCAGAATGAGGCTTCACTTCCTGAAATCAGCTCTGTTCCAGCATCCATTGTGCTGCATGTTTTCTGCTTCCTATTCGGGGGCGTAACTGAAAAACACTGGTTCAACCTGAGAGGACAAAATGAAGCCTAAAGTGTCTCACTGCTCAGTTTGAGGAAGAATCCCTCTGAAAATAGGAGCTGTTTTTACAAAAAGAAGATGGAAATATATCAGTTTTTCCTCAATAAAATGATATATATATATTACTAAAAAAGACCCAAAAAGAAATCAGAATATCTCACATTTAAACTTTGAATTTCCGTTATTTCCCTTCAGAACCAGCTCTGATTTCCACTAAATGAGCTCTATTCCAGCAGATATTACAGACAGAAGTGGAAACGGCTTCACTAAAAAAGCAGAAACTAAACATTCGGGGGTCGTTTTACACTGTTAGCTTTAAAAAAAAAAGCCGTGAGCAGGAGGTGAGCTGTGTTTTTTCGGCCTCCAGCTGGCAACAACGTGACGGACGAGGAGCTGGACAAGATGCTGGAGAGCGGTCAGACGGACGTCTTCACCCAGAACGTGAGTTTTAACCCCCTGAGCCGGTTAGACCTCGGGTCAGCCCACAGTTAATGTTTCCACCTCGTTTTCGTCCACTGTAGCTGACATTTATCTGTCAGTTAACGCTTTTCCCTTTTTATAGAACATAAAATGCCTAAACTTTTTGCAGCTTTAACCTCCTCAGAACTCAGCTTTTATCTGGTTCTGTTAGTTCCAAATATCTGGATCAGATAAGTTTAATAACTAGACTTTGTCCTGCTTCAGGTAGTTTTTCTTCATATAGACTCAGTGGGTTTATATTTCGATTTAAAATCTTTGTTTATAGATTTAGTTAAATGTTAACTGTTCTGAGGGTCCAAATGACTTATTTACAGCATTTTAATCCAACAATAAAAACAGGATAGGTGTAAAATTTCTAAAATTATTTTCCTTTAGATTTCAAACAGTAGTGTCTGACAGCGTCTGCTATGAGGCCGAGAGGTCAAAGGTCACAGAAAAAAAGCAGGATCCTGGTACAGAGACGCAGAAAGGCAGAGTCCTCCATCAGAACAGGAACTCAGGAGGTCCTTTAAACCCCAAACACGAGTCCCTAAAGACAGAAACAGCTGTAAAACATAACATCTGGACACTGCCCCCCCCTCTGACTCAGATCCTGAACGATGCTAAAGCCACTAAGCAGGCTCTGAACGAGATCGAGACCCGGCACGACGAGATCCTCAAGCTGGAGCGCAGCATCCGAGACCTGCACGACATGTTCCAGTACCTGGCCATGGAGGTGGAGGCCCAGGTAAGGTGGGGGGGGTGGGGGTTAGGGTTAGGGTTAAGGGGAAAGCCTCTGACTCTGCTGCTGGGCTCCGCAGGGGGAAATGGTCAACAGGATAGAGAACAACATCAAGCAGTCGTCGGACTACGTGGAGAAGGCCAAGGAGAACGTGGGCGCCGCAGTGACCTACCAGCAGAAGGCCCGCAAGGTACCGGACTCAGACCGGACCCGAACCGGACTAGACTCAGACCGGACCCGAACCGGACTAGACTCAGACCGGACCGGCCTCAAACCTGTACCAGACCGGACTAGAGTCGGACCGGCCTCAAACCTGTACCAGACCGGACCGGACTGAACTAGACCAGAGCCGGACCTGAGCCGGACCGGCCTCAGTTGGACGGCGGCGCCACATTTCTGTGTTTGTAGTCATTCGACAGGCTGTCCAGCAGCTGGTAGAAGCTGCCGTTGCCATGGCAGCAGGTAGAACCAGCAGGTAGAAGCTTCCGTTGCCGTGGCGGCAGGTAGAAGCTGCCGTTGCCGTGGCAGAAAGTAGAACCAGCTGGTAGTAGCTGCAGGTAGAAGCTGCCGTTGCCGTGGCAGCAGGTAGAAGCAGCTGGTAGAAGCTTCCGTTGCCGTGGCGGCAGGTAGAAGCTGCCGTTGCCGTGGCGGCAGGTAGAAGCTGCCGTTGCCGTGGCAGAAAGTAGAACCAGCTGGTAGTAGCTGCAGGTAGAAGCTGCCGTTGCCGTGGCAGCAGGTAGAAGCAGCTGGTAGAAGCTGCCGTTGCCGTGGCAGCAGGAAGTGGACAGAGCCGGTTCTGGACCTTCAGATGGAGATCCGGACCTGCTGTCGTGTGTGGACCTTTGTCCCGTTCCAGCTTTGGCTCCGGGACAGATGTGCCCACATCTGGCTCTGAACCACAATCAGCTCAGTAGGAACGATCCTCAGTCACCCGTCACTTTCCCAGCATTTTGTTTTATGGTTTTTTGGGAACGAGCCACCTGCTCTGAACCATCTGGACCTCGTTCAGCCTCCAGTTAATGTTTCCACCTCATTTATGTGGGAGTTACGCTTCTCTAAAAATGGCTAAACTTTATGCCGTTTTCAGCCTCAGGAGGTCCTTAATGACAAAAAACAGCTATAGAAATATCATATATAGATATTTTCCCACC